ACTGTCACTCACTGGGAGCTCAGCCTAGCAGCACTGGTACCTTATACAGCTGAATGCCTGTGATGTGTTTTCCTCCTCACTGGTATATCGCTTTGGACAAAAGTGTCTGCTAAACAAAAATAATGCAAAGGTAGTAGGTACTATACTACGGAGTGGAGGGACTGGGTGTATAAAGAGAATGTTTGTTTAGTTTGTGCTTTAGTAGAATTTAAAACTTGTAATTATTGACATTATTCCGAGATATATTGACAGACAGAAACAGTTTTCCATTACAAAAAGTTTTAAATGCTTCATAACTTACAGGCTTCTCACAAACATCAATTTACATCAGATAATATTTGATCTTAACTGACACTTTAATACAAAGTAGCCTGCCATTATTACTCATTCATATTTCTCCAGTCTCTCTGTGGTCACGTTATTGAGAGTCGTTGACCATGTTCCCTCTGGGACCTGTTGAGCAGTGAAGGTTTCTTTAGGACACAAAGTGAAGCAGTTGGTAAAAAAAAAAGAAAAGAAAAAATGTAACATTCATTATTAGACAACATATCGTATCAGCATAATGACTATTTCTGTGTGAAATAAAAAAATGTGCAGTGGTTCAAAAAAAGTCTGGGAAAGCAGCACCTCCCTTAGCTTGATAAAAGGAACTTCAATGAAGCAAGATATTTTCTGCTGTATTAAGCTCATAGCCTTTCCAGTGATGTGCACTGTTGCTCATTCTCAACCTAAAGATGACTGACTTAACGTTTCCGAATGTGAGTTCTACCATCAGAAGAGATAAACTCACTTGTTCCTAATATTCCTGGTTGGTTTGTGGACAAGGAATTGGTATACTTTAAGGGGTAATGCCAGGAGCTCTATCTATAGATAATTTGATTTGTAAATATTGTTCTTTTTGATTATAGATAATCCCATGTACAGTACTGTGTAAAAGTCTTAGGCAGTAAAAGAAAATGTTTAAGGCTATGTATCTTGTATATTTGCTCATAAAACACAATAAGGCTATATAAACTCCGTTTCAGTTCCCAAACCTCTCCTTAATGGCACCTCAGCCATTCTATGTATTTGGTAAATTTCTATACCAACTCAATTAATTCATTAACTTGATTTGTTAAATAACTCAATGGGGACCTGATTAGCCAGACAAGGTGGGGAAGTATTCGAGTCAAAAAATACTTGGACGGCTGCTGTAAATACTGTGGTGAGTTTAGGACAGCATTTGAAATGATTAAGCTGACACACTTTGACAGACATGATAGTTTTACACCAACATGAAAATAATTTAAACATCATTTTCTTTGACTGCCTAAGACTTTCTCACAGTCCTGTAAATATTATAAATGGAAAAATGGATTTTTTCCATTTTTTTTTTTTAAATAGGAATGCAATTGTGCAATTAAGTCTTTTTAGAAATGTGAGGATTACATTGTCCCATGTTGAAAATATGATGTTGTGTCCAGTTTTGAACAATATGGGATGCGATTTGCCCCTGTATTTTTTGACCATGTGATCGATCCCCTTCCCCACAAATTTTATTGTCTTGGACTCAGCGGAGGAGTGGTGCCCTGCTTCTTCAGGCAAATCGAAAGAAGCAGCCCTAGTGGGACAGTTTGATCAATGGAGGCATGGATCAAAGCAGTGAGGAAAAACCATCAGAATCTAAAAAAGTTGATTGACGCAATTTCTTTTCTTCAGTCAATAGTTTGCATTTTTAAATTTTGTTTTTATTTTTATTAGTGCTGTCAAATGATTCAAAATTTGAATCAGATTAATCACAGGGTTGCTGTGGATTAATTTAGATTAATCACGATTAAGTATCATTCATTTTTAATCTATATTAATCAGATTTCATTTTGCATGAGCAAACAGACTCAAGAAAAAAGGGAATATATATGCACTTAACATGTTTATTGAACATCTTGAACACAAGTTGGATGCATTCCATCTGCCACAGAAGTGCAGTACCATGGACCCATATCAAAAAGCAAGATTTTTTGCTTAGCCGGACAACTTGTCGGGTTTAAGGTACCTCAGGTTAAACGGTCTTTATCTTCGTTCACTTACAATTAGCCCGAACTAGCGTACATCCGACAAATAATCCGACTAATCATGAAATCCCATTCTAGCCCGGTTAATTGCCATTGTTAGCAATATCAGTTGAGAACACACCATGCGCGGTGCTTTACGTATAAATCTTCGTAGCAACACGTCCACAGATAAGTTGGACGGTATAGTGTGCGTGACCGATTTAATGAGCCACAAATGAGAAGTAGTGCTTAAACAGTATAAAACTACATCTTCCCCTTCTGTTGATAAAAGGCGCAGCCATCTTGGATTCTGAATTCGGGATCCTCTGTGCTGTCCGAGATATTTCTCAGATCTCCGAGAAAGGGGAGCGTGCATGTCGTCACTTCTGGCTTCAAAACTCGGAATCCAACTCGAAATACCAGTTCCCAGGACCTTGTTGACTGTGAGGTTACCAAGAAGGAGGAGGAGATGTACAGAGTGAAGGCTGTGACACAGGGGCAATAGGGGCACTATCCTGTCCTCGCAACCTCAATCAGTGGCTAAGGATATATCAAACCTGCGACCTCTGGTGGCCCATCAATACCTCTCCCCAGCATTTTCTGTTAGGTTGAATGACACAGAGTTGGTCTAGAGCCAGCAGAAGATCTACTTTTTCAGGCAGGGGGAGCCAACAGGAGACAGCATCTCAGCTCCTGACATCAGGGCTGGAGTGGAGAATGATGAATGGAAGTGGACCTGGGCGGGCAGTTCTGTTTCCCAGGGGAAATCTCCTGGACCATACTGCAACCAGATATGATATTGTGGACCACATCTGGAAGATCAGCACTGTCGAGCTGACAGTGCCATGGGAAAAATGAGCCCATGAAAGGAAGATAGATATATGTGGACCTGGTTGTGGAGTGCAGGGAAGGTGGATGGAGCATGAGGCTCTACCCAGTGAAGGTGCAACTCAACAATGCGTCTACTCAGGGACCTAAGAGGAACTAGACTGCACAAGGAAAACACAGAAATATTGGGTGTCAAGGTGATGTCCTTGTTCACTGCCCCACCATCATGAGATGTTCCAGGATAAGGGGTGAAACATCTATGAGCGGTGGTCCCTGGCTGATGACGCAGTAGTTAACAAAGCGGTCACTGGTGAGGATGCAGCGGGCCTTGAGCTTAGCTGGAAGAACACTTACCTGTATGGACAGTAAACATTAGATATACAGATCTCCACACCTCCTACAACAAGTCTTCTTCTTCCTCTGCTGTTTGAAAGTCACTGCTGCCTCTTACAGTAAACGTCTAGTCAATTTCATAGCACATGCACAGTCAACGTGCAGCCAATGGACACCAACGTGCAAGTGTCACACACTTAGAAAGGGATCAGGACACATACTCATTGGACAGAGGATTGCTTTATATCAATTGCCCCCACCTTGGGTCAGCAATTTTTTTTTCCAGCACATTAAACCTTGGATTTGTGTTGCTGATGAAAAAATAGTTCCTTTCACTCATATTTTGATCAGCAACTGCCACTGGTTGTGAGGCAGCTGCTGTTTTCTCACTGGATGATTCAGTCCAGTCGGCGTGGTAGGTGGGATAGCCCTTGGGTGGAACTGCGTGCAGCTCTGCGGATCTCTTTGGGGATTAAATTGTCTGCACCGGTTCTCCGGCCCTCAGCCATGTTTCCTCGCTCCTGTCTTCTGGGTCTTTCCAGAAGTCGTGGGTGATATGAGGCAGCAGCTCCAGGCCTGTCATGGTGATCGTTGCATCCTGTTCGATTGTTTTGCCAAAATTTATCTGTTTGGCCACTGCATGTAATTAAAGAGAAGACTGACTGATAACAATAAAACAAACACTATAAACATAAAAACAAGTGTATGAGGAGCAGCCGCAGTCCAGCGCTATCTTGTTCACGGTGATGTTTGCTGATGGTTTTTACTGTATTGAGATTATTAACTGCAGCTTCCTCTTCGACCCACAGCTCCTGTCACTCTGGACCCGAACACTGCAGACCGCTGGCTCTCTGTGTCTGATGATCTGACTAGTGTGAGACACACTGGAATTTATCAGCAGCTTCCTGACAGCCCAGAGAGATTCTTCCCTTGTGCATGTGTGCTGGGCTCTGAGGGGTTTAACTCAGGAAAACGCAGCTGGGAGGTGGAGGTGGGGGACAAAACTGAGTGGGATGTAGGAGTGGTAGCAGAGTCTGCTAACAGGAAGGGGGTGATTACATGCAGGCCAAAAAATGGATTCTGGGTTGTATCTCTGAGGAACGGCAAAGAGTATGAAGCATGGACCACACAACCAACCCGCCTGAGACTGACGAGGAAACCGCGGAGGATCAGAGTGCAGCTGGACTATGACAGGGGGGAGGTGTCCTTCTTAAACCCCGCTGGCATGTCACTCATCTACACCTTTAAAGACACATTCACTGGGACCCTGTTTCCATTTTTCAGTCCATGTTTAATAGAAGATGGTAGTAATGCTGGATCCCTGAAGATCTGCCCAGGAAAGGTATCTGTGATATTAGTGTCATCCCAGTAAATGTGTCTGTGACAGTGATGCCATCCCAGTGTCAGAGCGTCTCAGATACTCTGTGAAGTGGGTAAGCAGGGGTGTCCTGGGACGAGGTGAAGTATCTGTCAGCTGGTTAGGGTTGGGGTTATACTGTAAGGAGTGGGAAAGGTATTAAGTAAAAGTTTTTCTTAGGTTAGTTAAGCTGTATCAGTCAGGGCTGTACTGAATTGTTTGTATTTACTGCGTATTTTTTTGAACTTGCAGCTAATTGTATTCCCCGGACTTATGATTTTACATATGATTTTAGCACTGGTCTTTTGGCACAGATGCTTTGGTATGTAAGGCAATAACTCAAGCTCATAATGCAAACTCAGCATACTTGGACTTTGGAATTTGTAAGTAGTTATTTTTTCTCCAATGCTCGTTTAGACCGAAGAGCCAGTTTTTTTTTTATATCTTTTTTTTTATTACTCAATGGTTTTGTCCAGGTCTGAAACAAGGGGTTCATTATTTTATTTGCTTGTTAGTTGATAGTTGATTTGTTAGCCAGCTAAGGTGTGTAAAACCACAAGGTAAAATCTAGCTGAAACATGTTAAAAGAATCTCTTATTTGAACAGCTTTATTTGTCTGCTTATCATTTTTATTTTTCTGGAAAATCTATTTTTTTATTTTTTGTCGTAATTTGTGTAATAAATAGTGAGTAAGTTTTGTTGTATTTTTATTAAACCAAAAGGAAATTAAAATATTCAAACTCAGGGCGCTACACAAAAATGGTGGCCCCACTGGGATAATTCCCATTTTGTTATTATCTTTCTCATTTCATATAAATAAATAAATAAATAAAACCAGTTGGAGTATGTTGGTGGTCCCTGTATCTTAAAGAACTCCAAGTTAGCAGCAAAACTCTCAGGTCCTAAGAACCCTGACTCTAGAATACCATCCTGGTTTAGACCGAAATTCTCAGATCCTAACAGCCCAGATTCTAGAATCCCGTCCTGTTTTACAACAAAATTCTTAGATCCAAACAGCCCAGATTCTACAATCCAAACATGATTGAGAGCAAAACTCTCAGATGCCAACAGCACATACTCTAAAATCTCAACATGATTGAGAGCAAAACTCTCACATCCTAAGAGCCAAGTTCTAGAATGCCATGCTGATTTACAGTAAAATTGTCAGATCCCAAAAGCCAAAATTTCAAAATCCCATCATGATCCCATCATAGCCACGAGTATCTTCCAGCACCCACAGTGTCTAGAAGAGGAAGTGTAGAACATCACAGAAGATTATGTGGATGTCCTTCTACCCTGGCTGGATTCACTACCCTCCAGCCCTTAAAAATATAAAAAGATTTAGAATAGTATTGTAACTATAATACAAAAATGTAAATATGAGCAATACATCAAATGCTATTTATCTTTAATTGTTTACTTTTCATTATTATATTTTTCTTAGTTTTTCTACCTTCTGAATGATTATTGTCAAGTTTGTTTTGTGAATGTTTTTCGTTTGTGGAATTAAAGAAGTAATTTTTTAAAGTTACTCGACTGGAACTGCAGTTCCACCGGTTTTCCTGGTCACAGATTTAACAACGAATGTACATTATGATACAGAGTGTAATTTGTCAGGTATTCACAAATGTACGTGAGGAGCGCTAAAGAACTAACTAGCCAACTAGTAACTTTGGTGGCACTACACTGGGGTGGGTAAATGACCGCTTGAGTGGGGCACCACAAAAACACACCATCTCTTGGATGAGAAACTAATTTACTATTGAATTAAATAGTACTTAAAATGTCCTATAGCTTTATACATTGAATTCACTTTGTCAAGTGTTTAGTCAGCAAAATAAAAACAAAGCACAGAAATTGTGCATGCTTTAAAGTAGGCTTACCAAAATACACACAGCAATTTTAAGATGTTTTTATTTTGAAAACAAAGCTATACACAGATTAATCAGTGGACTCCAACCAAAAAAGCATAGCTACTGAAGTCTGTTTAATTCAAAGGTAGAGTGTATAATCTTTTTTTGAGTGCAGCATACACCTGTGAACGATTTTTGTTGATTCCTTCCTTTTTAAATGGACTCTTATCATACTCCCTGTTTTCAGGCTGTTAATGGAAATGGCATATGCGTAAAAAGTAGCAAAGTATTGTCAAACAAAGTCAGTCATAACTGCAATTATTCCATAGCTGGAATCCAGACTGTAAGGTAGAGTAGTAAAGAGGGCATTAGTTAGTAGGATCGTCCTCCATGCTTTTTCTTGCTGGTCTTCTCAACCATTGTCTCTACAATAACAACAGTCTCCTCGTAGTCTTTGAATCGGTTGTCGTCAGAAATCTTCTTGACAGATTCTGCCATCTCCACCTTCTCATAGCTTATGAATTCAGAGGATGGGCTAGCTCTGGGGAGGGGCATTAGGGGTAGGGGCAAATACTGACTACTGCCATCAGAGATGTTGCCCCACATATTTGTCTTGAAGGGCTGAGCTGGGTCACTTTCTGGATGCTGAGATTCTTCTTCACCTCCATTCTCGTTGCTCTTCCCATATTTTCCTCCCACAACATCTTCCTCCTTGTCACCCTCCTTTCTGTCATTTTTGCCATTTCCACCCTCCTTTCCATTTCCTGTAGGAGTAGATGGTGTTAGGGGTGGGGGTGAGGGAGCTGGGGAGGGAACAGGAACAGGAATGGATATTTCCTTTCCTAAGTCTTCATCAGGAGGTGTTGCGCCATTAGCCTTGGTGATGGAAACATGTCCTGCTGAGGGGGAAGAGGAGAAGTAAGGACTCACATAGCTGCTCTCGCCAGTTACAGTCACATATCTGCCCTTGGTGTAGATGTCGACCGCAGGCTCAGGTTCAGGCTCAGGTTCAGGCTCAGGTTCAGGCTCAGTTTCAGGCTCAGGTTTTGGCACCTTCTTCTTGTGCTTACCCAGTCGCCCTCTCAGGAGATCATGAAGCATTTTAAACCCCCTACTGATCTGGCTTCCATCTGGAACATCCTCAGGTTCACCACCAACATTTTGATATAAAACTGAGTCCATCTGCTCTTCGATCTCCTTCCCTTCTTCCCCCGGCTTCCCCCTTTCCATCCCCTCCAGCATATTTTCTTTGGATGTAACGTCCTTATTATTTTGCATGTTTTCCTTCAGGACCTTCTGGCGAGGTTTTGCACTGGTGATGTCCTGTATGGCTTGAGTCAGATCTATGTAAGAAATAATGTAAATATGTTCAGAGCTGATCAAATGGCCTCAGGTTTTTCGCAGTGTAGGTGAGGCTGGATATCACCAGCTCTGGCCAGCTTAGGGTACAGACACCCTGAGATTATCCACACTGGTTCACGTCAACGTGCATGACAGAAAAGAAAATCCTAACTGCACTGCTAAATCACAGTTGTACATGCAAGATCATTTACAATGCATGAAAATTTATGAAGTTTAATGAAATCATCAAACCATCCATTTTACTTTTCTCAGTTTTATTTCACAAGACAGTTCCTAACAGATGATGGGTTGATTTTCAGTGGCACAATGTTTAGTGCACCCTCATTAGCACTCATTTAGTACACATTTTAAAAGGTAATCCCCAGTAATACAAAAATAACAAATAAAACACACTAAATTCTAAAAGCCTTGCCTTCTATCCCAAGAAAGCTTAATCATGCTGCTTCCAGACCTATTTCTCCCTGTGTGAGCATTTCAGTTTAGGGTGAGGAATTTTCAACCTGTAGTATTTGGTTGGGCTGAGTTTGCTCCCGGCTAAATATACATCTCAAGGTGATATAGTGAAGTTTAATTAAAGGTAATGCCATTAAGTAACCATTAAGTAATTAAAGGTAATGCAGGCCACAACCCATAAAATTCATCCATACTTGAAACTGTAAAATATTAGCAGAATTCTTAAATAATGTATAAAACAGTAATTTTGTTAGACGAATCAAATTGCACACTGGTCTCTTAAAATCTGCTAGGAACATTATAGCTGCTGTGCAAATAACTCAGTTTTCATCCCGCAATTTTCTCCTAAATATTCACTCATTTCTTGGCTATTGTCTAAGTTCAGAAGTTAAAGACTTAACTGACAAGAACTATTTCCGGAAGAAGCTTGCGATACTGATCCATCTACAGCCTGTAACTGGGTTCTGCACCCATCCATCTCCAGATCTCAGTCCTCCAAACATCCTTACCTCTTCCTCTGCTGCCCACCAGGGAGGTTTGGCCAAATTGTAAATTCGTTGAGAACATCACAGGAGTAGTAGTAATTGCCAGGTTCAGTCTGTCAATTGGAATAAGAAAAAGAACATATATTACAATGATACTTTCTGGTAAGATGTTAAATAAAAGTTTTCCCACGTCTGTTACATCACACTGTGGATGCACCTCTTCAAAATAATCCTCTACCGGTTTGCATGTGTGTGTGTGCATTTCTGTGCTTGGTAGAAAAGCCTAATAAACGAGTGTCACGGACAAGAGACAATGATGGCAGGATACAGTTTTCGATAGTTACTTTGAGAAAAACAGACAGAAACAGTAACACCTAGTAGCTAGATCGATGCACAAGTGATTGTCAGAAAGATTTAAAAAAAAAACTATTTTGGTTATTAAAATGATTACTGGAATGAACTGAAATATTTTACAGTTCTTTTCCAAAGACTGACACAAGAAACACATGTCCGTGTCACACCTGTCACCCTCTTTCTTGATAATCCTCCTATATCTGTCCAGTTCGTTCTCCAGAGAAGCCAGATAGAAGTCCAGGTGCCGACACTTGCCCGTGCACTTCTCCAGCGTGCACTCGGCCTCCTCTATGTCCTTATGCAGCATGTTAACCTTCTCGTTGTACAGCTGGATCTCGTCATCGTGGCTCTCCTGGGTACATTTGATTGTTTGCTCCAACACTGCAGTCTGAGAAGACCAGAATTATTGGGCTACAGAGGATGACATCAACTGACCTCCCAAATGAATGAGAAACATTAAGTGCAGGTGTGAAGTGCACTGCTAGGACAGTTCGTATCAGACTCCTAGGAGCGGGACTGAAGTCCCATAAAGCAAGGAAGAAGCCCTTCATCAATTAGAGAATAGCCAGGCTGCAATTTACAAAAAATGTGTAGTTTACACAGAAGCATACTCATAAATTGAGAAATGAGTGAAACAAAAAATTACGCTGTGGTCTCTTAATTTTTTTCTGCAGCTATATCTCATCAGTATCTCTCTACCTCCTGCACCAGCTCAGGCTCCTTTCCCACCAGAAAGGTCATGTTCCATGTGCAACCCCTGCAGATGATGGGCCTACAGGAAGGACCAATGTAACCCTTATGGGCTATGCCTGGCCGGGGCACATGGGTGGAGACCCAGCCACCGGTGCTCGCCTTTGAGCTCCCGCCCAGGCCTGGATCCAGGGCAGGGCCCCGGTCTCCCCAATCTGGGCGGGGCAGCATCTTCCTTTGTGGTAATCGTCATGGGGGTCTATGTGAATTATACTTTGTCTGGCAGCTCACATAGGGCCAATTTGCCTTGGGAGACCGTACCTGGGGCAACAGCCGCCAACAACATAGCTCCTAGGATCACAGAGGCACACAAACTCTTCCACCATGATAAGGTAGTGATTCATGGAGGAATTGTAATCTCTTGAATAACTATGAACTGCTCCACTTACAATGAATTTAGCAGAAATTTTAAAATCTGTTTTGATGCAGATACTTCATACGGAATATGTAATTGTTCTGTCTTTTACATGCAGGGCTACTTGAGTTTGCAGGAATTTTAGGTACAATCATGACTCTTGATAGAAAACTCTGCATCACGATGGCAACGCACCTCATTCTGGAGCCTTTGTTTTTCTGATTGCAGCTGGTAGATGATGCTCCCATATTCTTCCAACTGACTCTGCAGGATGGTGACACACCTCTGGGCTAAGAATTTCTCCTGGTTTCAAAGTAATGAAGTGGTGAAAAAGACTTAAAATGCCCACAATGCTTTGCATTTATACTGTCAGTATTATTGCTTATAGAGGATAGTACTACAAATTTTTAAACTTGGCTAAGTTACTTTTTTAATTATTCTTATAGTATTTGCAATTCTTGGTATCAAATTAAAAAGAGAAACAGAAAAATGTATCATCAACATCATAACTTTTGTGCTATGTGGGTGTTTTGTCTATGATGCCAGAATGTCATTCACTGATGGATACTGTAATTATTCCGTAACTGATAGTATTTAGAAATGTTTGGATTTTTTAAAAGAATATACCTGCAAGGTTTTTTTCCATAATGACTTATAATGAAAGTAAAACCATACCTCTGTAATTCCACAGGACACGACAGAGACTCGTGGCTTTGCCTGGTCTATCTGTCGCAGAATGTCCACATAGGTCTTTATCTCAGTAAAGTTCTGCAGGACAAGAAACACACAACAGTGCATCCAGTATGTGAAATGATATTGGTGGACACAGATTCCAGCATTCTTATCAGCCGCTGTTTGTATATGACCCATTTATTTTAGAATGATTCAATATGAGAAGGAATTTAGTGGGTCAAAAGTCTTAAAGCCAGCCTTAGAGGTTACCTTTTTGTTTCTCTCTTTAGTGGAACTGATGTCATCTTTAAGCAACTGGCACTGGATCTGAAACCCCAAATTCCTTAGCAAAGCAGCATCAGCTTCCTGAAATGCAGTACACGATATTCTCATTTAAGGTCTTCAGCGTGAATCTGTAAATATGAATGGCATCTGAGCTTTCATCAAAATGTCCATCTATTACAGGAGAGTTTGAAAGATCTTTAGAGAACTAAAGATTTTGTCCATGTATTGTTCTTGCCTTAAATCTGTTCATCAAATGTGCGATAAATGTGTGTTAAATCAATACATGAAGCCAGCTTCACCAGTTATTGCTATGATAATCAATCATTGTGTCCCATTCTGACAAATAGAGAAAAATTAGACTCATTTAAGTGCATTTTTTCATCTTTGTGAAATGATATGTAATTTCCTGCCTATATAAATTTGCCCCTCTTTGATCCAATTCTGGTTTTACCTTATTAAGCTGCCCTAGAGTGCTCCGCAGCTGCTGTTGGTATTCACATTCACTCCTGTACCTGACAAAGGAAATGATCAAAAATGCATCAAACCACGACGTGTGGTTGGAGTGGTTGGATGGCCAGCACGGTGGGCAGGGTGTAAATGAATTGGTGCTGCACCTCCGCTTTCGGTCCCTTTAAGGACTTTTATTAAAAAGCACAATATCTCTTTCAAAGCCATCTCATTTCTCTCGTTCCCGCGATGCCCAGGTCTGCTGGTTATTACAATATTACCCTCCTTAAAGTTATGCTGGAAAAACAGCCCAGAGTTCACGAGTTGGAGGCACGTCATTAGAACAATCGGAGGCAATGGATAGCTTCGCTGTGAAAGTGCAAATTATTTTGAAAGTACTAAATTTTATGTCGCCTGACATTGCAAAACTCTGAATTGTCTTGATTGTTGTTATTAAATGGTGTACCGTGAAAAAAATAGTTTTTTTTCCTCAATTTTTGATATGTTACAAATGCACTTTGGCGTTGGAGGAACGGCAAATACAGCAAAACAAAAATAGCTTTCTTATATTCTCCATTTTGTGCCGACTTTAACGCGGGTCATTTCATAATTACAATTTCCCAACTCCCGAGTCAGATCTTCCAAGTACGGCTTGAAGGCAGCATTATACGTATACTACAGAAGCTGAGAACGGCATACTCATCGCGATATTTATCTCAGCGAGAACGATATAAAAATCATTGAGAATGCACCCGTTCTTGGCTTACGCAGTATGTGTGTTGCGTGTGTTTGATGTTATTTGTGCTATCTGGGGCTGAAGGCAGTAGCGCTAGTTGCTGGCGGGTAAGGGGGATCGAGGGGAAACGGACAAGGGGGCTAAAAGGAGGGCACCCAAAAGCAGTCCGGACAGAGAGCGGGAAAACAGTACTGTCCGGAGGAAATCCAGACAAGTGGTTACTCTACCTGTTGTTGTGCTCATTCAGAACCCACTCAGCATCTTTCCACTCATGCTGTAATTTGGTGCGTTGAAATGACAGTTCGCTAATCCTTTGCCGGTTCAGCTTGATCTGCTCAACAAAGCCGTCTTCCAGGTTAGAGACCTCCTCTATCCTGTGCAGAGTCTCCAGCTGCTTCCTGAAGATGGCGTTGTGCTGCTCGAGCACATGTGCCCAGTTGATGTACTTGGTGAAGCATTCATTGAGCTCCTGCAGACTCTCCCAGTCTAGGATAGCAGACTCAGGGTAAGAGACATCCGGAAGGTCCAGTTTCTCAAGGCTGTCAGTGCACTCATACTTCTCTGTGCAAACATTATGCAGGCAGCTTGTCCTGAGCATGTTAATTGGGATTCACCTGCAGCGCTGTGCTTTGGGTCCCATCAACACAATCAGAGTGTCTCCCCTGAGCTGCCTCACCCTACACTAAACTGCAACCAAGGTTCCTATCAGCAAAATAACCTCAAATGCAACCAGTCATGCCACCCAGTCATTTATTCCAGAGCTTGCTTTTCTTTGTTCCTGACACCAAAAAAAAACCCGTCATGGTCTACTGACCAGATCCACCAGAGCGGATGGAATTCTGCTGTGTCAAACGACTCATTATATCATTCTTTATACTATGCTTCTGTTTTTGACCAGCTTTTTTCATTTTGTTGGGGGGGATTTGAGGATAGCTGAAGCCTGTCGATTGATGTGCAAATACCAGCCATACAATTTTCGTGAGACGGAGAAAACACTCTGGAATAACACAGGGGTATTAAACAGCTGGACCATTGTTAAACTCATTTCTCACTGGACGTTATGCATTAGAAACCCCAAGGGAATATTGCCCAAATGCTGAGTTAACTGCACCTCTGATTAGCAGGTGCATTTATCTTGATTTGTTAACATGACTCAATATTTGTAGAAGTGATTATAATAGTCAATTGTGTTGCTAAAAGGTGGAATAACATTTTCCTCATAGAATGTAGACCTCCAAGATTAAATGTTTAAGATCAGCTCATTACTGCATCTCTTGTTGTCTTACTACATATTTTTTGTATTCCTGAGTACAATGAATTCATTTCCCAACTCCTTATACTGCTCAGGATTAGGGGTTTAACAATGCACCATGGCACAAAATTATTTATTAATGTTAATGCAAGAGGGAGCAATAAGCATAATCTGTTTTGCTTTGACATTTTAATGCTGCATTTTGCACTGGATTCTGCAGAATAAGGAAAAAAAACTGTCTGAAAGGATTTATTTTTTTTGTCAATGTTCATGCAGGAACAAATAAGAACTGCCTGTCTTATACATTGTTATTACATTAAGGACATAATTATCCTTTCAGTTTCAAGAAGGTAAGGATCTGCTTTAATTTAAGAGATTTTGAGGTTTTACTTTTGCATTTTGCAGTTTTGCATAAGAAATGGCTTGAAAATGGCTTTTTAGTAATTGGCCCATGCCTATAAATGAATAAAAGAAGTGTGAGATCTTAGTTTTTCAGTTTTATTTTGTTTATGTATTGTGAATCTGCCCTGAATTGTCCATCGAACCAAATTACCCTTTTCATTCTTCTTGCTGATGGGTGTCTTGGTCACTGTGGAGGGGGCTATCAGACCATATTGTCCCAGATGATGAGACACTGTTAAGGCAAATTCTTGCCCTGCCCAGAACTAATTTGGCAAGCAATTCCAGCTGTTGAACTGATCACCCACGAGAATCTCCCCATCATCCTGTTCACTCACGCACTCAACATACTGTATATTGACAACCAGCCTTTTTCAGGACTTGGATGATTACAGTGTGGCCATCCCATCAGTGGTCCATCCCATCAGCCTTCATCTGAATAACCTGGTGTCACGGGGTTTTGGTCACCTTAGAAAGTTCCACCATCTTGTAAAATGGCTACAAATGTTGCCAAATAGTTGGGTTTGCCAGATATTTCAAGATATTTCAGATTGGATCCAAAAACCGTCAAGTATATCAGATCATTCTCAAATTTTGATGTTTAAATTTCTTGTTAAAACCATTTATTTTGTGATGGGGCATAGCTTTCACTGGTGAAATATGATTAAAATACATTTCTTCTATTCATATTAGAATAACTTTGAATTCGGATAAGCTGTGACTCTCTATATTATAAAAATGTCTGTCGTTTTCTATATTTGATCACCACTGTATTTGTAAAAACTGCAAAATACAACTGCAGAGCAGTGTATAAATGCCCCCGCCCCAGTCAAAATGGTGTAGAACCTCCACTGGTGCGATGATCAGCATGGCATTTCATACACAAAAGACTGTGATAGTCTGCTGCAGTGAAACCATGCATAAACATGTTGCACTAAAATATTTTCACTCAGTAAAAGGAAACCAAACTTAGCAAGCTTTGCAATTTTAATGATGGTTCCTTTTCAACATTGTCTAGTATATGTTTCAAAAAAAGTCAAATATTTACCGCTGCTGCTTTTGCATGAGCTCAGTATGTGCTCTCTGAGACAAACACAATCATTCTCGTCCGTGTTGCTGGACTCACTCATAGATCTTGTGGTGTGTTTGTGGGAAATAAAATAAAATTAAGTGAACAAGTATTGGTCATGAAAAGACATTCACCTTCTGCTGTATGGAAATATTTTGTATTCCATAGAGATGATATTAAGCAGAAGCAAGTGATTTGCAGAGTAATCAATTTCAAACGATGCTCTTAAATAATCGTGACAGCTCTAAAAAGGTGATGCAAACATTTTTTTGGAAATTTGTTGAATTAACATGGAATAACCTTTTAGTAAATCAGGGCCATGCTGAATTTGGTAAACATCACTGAAAAGATCCGACGGGGTATGAAAGATAAATCAAATTACTTTTGTAATACATAATCTAATTAAGCCAAAATCCCATTAATTCCCAATATTTAACCTGTAAAGAGCAAGTTCCCTATACATATTGCACAGAATGTTACTGAGCATGTTTATAAGAAGTCTGCTGCCCAATAAAACACAACTTAAAAAACTGTACTTCTAACTAGCAGAAGAGCAAACTGAGGAAAAAAGAAAACAGTAATCAGCAAGTTATTGTGCTTTCATATAAAGGTTTTTAAAACCACAATGTAAAATGAATGTAACCCTGCGGAATGGAGAATTATTTATTTTATGTATCTGCTTAATCTTATGTAATTGCTTAATTAAGTTTTTCTTTCATTTTGGGTTACTCCACAATTTAAGGGGTTCAATTTTGTTTTGAGCGGATTGGTACCTGGTCATGTGACAGGGGAGAGAAGAGTAACGGTGGGGAAGAAGTGGTGGCAAGAGAGAAAGAGCGGGAGGAGAGAGAGAAGGTAGAGGATGAAGGTGAAGAGTGCGTGCGCAGGGGACGGACAGTTTCCAACGACGAGAAAAGGGATCGACCGGCTTATCTGAGAACCTCCTCCCAAGGAGTAGCTAGGAAGCAGGGAACCCGGACAGGGCCCCAAGATACCGGAGAAGCTTGGGCTCCACCGGCACCGAACACGCGCCGACTCACTGCGTCCGGGCGCCGAAACGGCCTGCGTCGGGTTTTATTTCCATTTTCCCTTTCTGTCATATTTCATGGACACAGGGCGGCATGTTTATTTTCCTGTTTTGAATATACGTTATGTGTAATCATTGGGGTTGGGATATATATATATATATATTGCTTTGCTTGAGTTATTATATCTTTTCTTTTTTTAATTAAAAATTGAGGGTGTTTGCATTTGTTCGATTGTTAATTGTGTTTTCTTAGAGAGTTTGGATGGTAAGGAGGACGATACAAACGGCAGGCCGGTGTGACACGTACCCAGGGCCCCCCTTCCTAATTGTAGCGTACGGAGAAAGGGTGCTGCATGAACATTCCTCACTTTTGGATTAATCATTCTCAACATCGGAATTTTTACAGACAGAACCAGCCTCCAGGCAAGTCTTAATACATGAAAAGGTGAATTTGGGGTGAAAATGAAAAGCTGCTTGAGGTTTGATATCCTACAAGAATGAAGGCTACATCACTTGAAGCACTGCGGGTTATAAACATTAAGCAAAACGCCAATTGCACTTTTATTTCTATCCAGTGTTTTTGAATGGTTTAAAATAAATCTTCAATATGAGATTTGGTCACTTTCTGAGCAGAGTCTTTCTCTGTTTTTTCGTGTTCACACTGTCATCAGACTCGTAAGGAACGTAGTCTGAATCATCATCAACAGATTCACTCTCGTCATCCATGAAGCTGTCGTCATCCAAATCAGCATGTTCTTGTCTTGAAGCCCTTTTAGCTGGAGAATATAAAGAGACCTTAAAAATGCTTCGTTGGGTTTTGTTTTTCACCACCTATTAGAAAAAAACATAACATAAAATATACCTGGATCCTTAGTGTGTTTGTATTCTTTCTTGTGCAGTGGGTTTTTCCTGGAAAAAAAAAGAATTGATAATTTGTCAGCCTCTTGTCATAAATGCAGACAGGATGCAGTTCATGATCTTCTCCTGCATTTCCAATCTTTCCTGATGTTTGTAAATGATACGTGTCCATTAGAATGTATTAATTTGCTTTAACACAACATTTTTAATTAATGCCACTTTACACCAGAGAAGCTTTACACCTTTTTCATTATGTTGTTACATCTAAATTTTAATGGAGTTAAAACACCTTTGGCAGTTATTAAAATAATTTTAAGTGTTTTGTGTGCATCCCTAACACCTATCCACATCTGGGACACGCGATATTTGCTCATTCTTTCTGGAAAAAGAAACATTCATCTGGACGGAAACCACTGCAGTTGTCACAGCTTGGCAGCAGATGCACCTTAAATTGGTTACAAGTCTGCAATCCCCGGTCACTTTAGGAATATCACGTCTCTTTATTTCAAGCCACTCCAGTTTTTCTTTGCCAATCTGTCGTGCTCCTTAAAGGTAGCTCTTAATCGTAGGCTTTTCCCTCCCAGACTCAAGCAGACCTATACCTGCTGTTATCATATCCCATAATGTGATGCTGCCCCCAGCAACCATCACAGAGGAGACTTGAATACAAGCAAATACTTGATTTTTGTTGTTTTTGTACTATACATATATGCTGGGCAGATATAGGATTTTTCCACTTTGGAAGTGGTCTGACATGGGACATGACCAATACAGAAGAAGGGCTCAGACCCCAGCCCCACCTGTAGCAGCTGGTCCCATACGGACACTCTGGTCTGTCGTCCTCGTCCTCGTCTGCGGGCTTCTCCTCATAGTCGCTGTCACCAGGATGGCTGCACTCTTTGAAATGAATGGGGTTCTTCCTAAGAAACAAAAGAATATGGTGTAAATAAAACACAAAAAAGGATGGGGTGCTTGTGATCATAAGGTTGCAGGTTCAAATCCTACAATCAGAAAAGTGGTTTCGCCATTGAATGCTTGAGAGAGGCTTTTAACCTCAATTGCTCCAGGGACTGGTTAATCCTACTCAAACTGTTGCTTTGAATAAAAGCATATACTAAGAAATGTCATTAAATATAATCAAACAGACAAAACTAATATGTATAGTGCAAGTATTAGGGTTCAAAACTAAAATTTTAAAATGTAGTTGTGGTGAACATGATTGGTGATTTATGTATACCCCTGATATAACCTTCCTTCGTCCTTTAGAATAGTTAAGCCGATATGACATCAGCAAAAGACAGATTTAATGCCTTAAGAACCGTCATAAGATCCATTCTGTACTGTAATATCGTTACACTTTCTTTGTCTACTGACATTTAGTCTGATGCGGCAGAACAGTGAATTTATTTCTCAGAGCAGGTTGTTGTTGGTTTAGCTGCAGTCCAATGTGATCGAGCATCATCTCCATGCCACCGTACCTGTAACAGTCGTTGCCGTAGGGACAGGGGACTCGCTGTGAATTCCTTGCCTGTGAGGGACCCTCCTTCCTGTTAACCAAGTCCGGCTTCTTCTCATCTCCAGAAGCAGGTTCCCTGTTGCTTCCAGCCGGTCTCTCAGGGTCGTCGGACTCCTCGCTCGTCTCCGCCTGGATGGGCCTCACTGGGCGCCTGGCCTTCGTCACGAATGACGCAGAGGCCTGTTAAACCAAAACAACCTTTTCGCACCTTCCGAGAATGCTACGGAGCCTCGGGGGGATATTCATGAACGACATAATGGTTTAGAATCAGCGAATGAGAATTTGAAACGTCAGAGAACCTTGCTTCGTGTGTCATCTTCCTCATTGCTCCTCTTCCTCTTCATCACCTTCCCGAGGAAGTGTTCTGTTCCACCCTCCTCCGACTCATCCCCTGAGGAGACGGCTCTTTGCCCTCCCTGCGAGGAGCTGGCCGTTTTGGCCTGGGATGGGGTTACCGTCCCCCCACCCCATTTAACACCTTTCGAGGTGGAGGGGCTCTGGACGTCTTCACTGCTCTTCCTCTTCTTCCTCCCCTGCCCGAGTGAATGCTCTGTTTCACTCTGCTCTGTCTCATCCCCTGAGCAGGCGGTTCTTCTCCCTCCCGGGGTGGAGCTGGGCGCTTTGGCTTGGGATGGGGTTGCCTTCCCTCTGCCCCTCTTACCGCCTATAAGGGGGGGAAAAAAGGTGGATTTTATATAACTGCTGCACTGATCCTTGTAAAAAAAACAAAATGCACACATTAAACATACAACACTACAGACAAATTAAATTATATAAATTTCTTCCAAAACACTTTAAGACTTTTGTAAAGGTCTAACAATGGTTCTACAATTTTAATGTTTATGAAAAGTTAATTTATTATGTCTTGTTCTGTAAAAGTTACACAATACCAGTAATTAATGAAATTTAGTGTGGTGTCACCTGATTTATTTTTCATTTCTGATTGGTCACATTAATACTTTGCTTAATGGCTGGGGGACAATCATTACCCAAATCGTATTATAAGGCTTTTCCTAAAAATTAAGTGTCATTTTAGTCTAATTTAAAGTATTTTCTTCCCTCTCTATGCAGCAGATCACATTTTATGGGTTTATCCATGCTGCCTGACATTATGGGATGACAAAAGTAAAATCCTAAAATGTGGTGAGTGAGTTGTGGGTGTGAGACGACCTTTAGGTGTGGGGGGGCTCTGGACGAAAGCGGCCGCTTGCATCATCCACGCAGGCAGCACCCGCTTCCTCTCTTCTGCCTTCGGCCGTTCAATCCCAGAATCCACTGTGCTGGCCTATAGAGTAACATCAAAGGTCAGCCTTTGAGTAATCTGATATCATCTGGCTTCAGTGCCCCCCCATCAGTAATGCCCTGCCTGGAGGTGCACCCAGACAGCCTACTCGCCTGCTTCGGAGAGCGAGCGCGATCGTCCTCTCTTCTGAAGTCTGACGGCGCAGACTCTGTGCGCCGCTCCGCGGTATCAGGTCTTCCTGGGTCACTCAGTCCATTCTGCTCCTGACTCCTCTTACCCGTCTCATCCTCCGCCAGAACTTGCCTGTTACTGTAAGAGACAGGATACCGGCTGTGTGGACCCTTAGGCTTTCAAAATGCAAAGCTTGGATAACATTGGCAAATAGAACACAGGTGTACTGAAAAGACAAATAGAATATAACAGCGAGTTTTACCCTCTAAACACAGGCAGAAGGCTGTAGCTGAGGCACCGTTACATTTAACCAGCTGAGCGCGATAGCACAGCCACAAAGGAGATTCCTAGGTGCATGCATACATGCTGCCAGGCTCAACGGCCACATTTTAATAATAATAATAGATAGATACTTTATTAATCCCCTCTTTATGCCTGCCCCAACATGCGCTCTATAGGTGAGAGCAAACAGGCTGCAAAGGGCAGCCACCCATAGCAGCGCCCAGGCTGCTGGGAATTAAGGGCCTTGCTCAAGGGCCCATAGATTTACTGAGGCTGGGCTGGAACAGGTCAGCTTCTGATCACAGGCACCGAGGCTTAGCCCACTGAGCCACAAGCTGCCCCAAAGGGACAACAAGCCATCTGGGACTGTTACTCAAAAAAGGTCAGCACTCAGAATGACTAAATAAGCCATATTATTGTAGCCAAATATTAGTTTAACTGCGAGTAATGAAAACAAGTACCTCTGTGTGTTTTCCTCCTTGGTGGAGACGACCCTATAGATGTACTTTCCTGGCAGGAGGGAGAAGATTTCCCCTGCGTGAAGGGGGTGCCACCTGTCCTTTTCCAGGGCCCGTGGGAGATCCTCCAGAGCGGACTGCCAAAAGCAGGGGTTCGCATGCGTCTGAAAGGAAGGACTAGCTCATCAGCAAGGGCCTGTATCACAAAATAGGATTTCTTGCGTAGACAGATAATTAGTCAGATTTAAGGTACCCCAGTTTAAATGGACATTCTCTTAGTCAGATTTAGCCAAAACTACCTTAAATCTGTCAAGTTATCCAGCTAAGCAAGAAATTCTGCCTTGTGATACAAGCCCAGTAGGTTAAACAGGCAACAAACAAGCAAGCAAAAAAATAAGACTTTACATTTTTGAACCATGTTAATATTGTGGAAATTAGTTTGTGATAAATTTTCCGAAAGTTACATGATGTTTTTGTTGCCCTTAAAACATAAAATTGCACTCTAAAGTGGAATAAGAAAAAATCCTTTAAAAACATTGGCCCAAAAACATCAGACAACTTACAATGCTTTATATTTTATGACTGCATTTGAAATGGAAAATAAATGTGATTAACAGAAAAGCAGGGGAACCAAAACTGACCAATACAACTTAGACAGCGGAAAATTATATAATCTGAGGCCTAACCTCGTTGACCTCTCCCTGCAGCCCCCAAAGACACTTTAGCTAATGCCTGGTACCATTTGACAGAGAATCGTACTGGATACATGCAATTATAAACATTGTATAGAAATCTGCATTTAAAAGTAAAAAGCATAAAAAAGCTAGTAAAGTGCAAGATGCTACAAAATATCAAAACTCTGTTGACGTTCTCCCCCCCTTTTATAAATTATTTTCAAGAGATAACGTAACCGAACCCACAAAACATTTGATTAGTCTGCTGTGTAGCGAACAGGTTTGGAAAAATCCATAAGAAGAAACAAGTCCGAATAAAAAGAGACAACAGGAGGGGAAACCTAACGAAGTAGGAGTTCATGGAGGGGGTCACAGATGGGATGCATACAGGTTTAATGCGCAGCTGTCCATCATTGTTCTCCAGCAGACCATGATGTCTGGACACCCTTTTATCAGTGACCTGAGAGAAAGCACACAAACAACAAAGAAATAAAACACATCCTTTTATAATTCACCAGGAAAATGAGCAACCAATGGGGCATGCACTGTTTACCATTAAAACTTAGGATTTTCACAGAAGACATTCAGGGTGAGGACTTAACATCTCAGCAGTATAGTCACAAATCAAGTATTTAATTTGCCATTTTTATTATTATTTTTTTTAAGTTCACCAGCACAAAGTCTGACTTTACTCAAATCAAGATTCCATAGCAAACATATAAAAATTCAAGTCATACCGACATTTTAATTACAGCTATAGCAAGTCATGTCTACTGTGATCAAACACTTAAATTTAGTTTTCAAAAACTGGACTCCATACACACTCACACATAATTTCTTCGCATTTTATTGATCTCTTGTTTTTTTCTACTTTTTTCTTGTTTATAAGCTGAAATAATGAAATCATTACACGTCATTGCCATCTCTTTCCTTCTCTAATTCGATGTTTAGTGCTGTGTGACACCTACAGGTTAAACACTGTTATAACCAATGAGAAAAATTAAATATTAATTAGTATTATAATAATGAGTATGTTTGTGTGTGTGTGTGTATAGATGTGTATATATAGATGTGTATATGTTTGATAATATTATATATTATTACTATATTATAATAATAATACTTTTAGTCATAATTTTAATATCTGAAATTAAAATTATGACTAGTAACAATTAGATTGTATATATCTGAAATGGGAGTTCTTCCTAGTAAGAATTCAATTGCAGATATCCAGAATGAACTTTCTGGATATCTGAAATATAATTCTGGATATCTGAAATTGAAAGCCCAATAGACATGAATGGCCAAAGTGACTTAATTTCTCCTAGGAAGAATGCCACTGTGGATCTCTGAAATGCTCTTTTTGACTAGGAAGAATTGAATTAGAGATATCTGCAATACATATCCAGTCTAGCGATTAAATGTTAAAACGGCTTGCCATACAACGTCGGGAACTGACTAATGCAGCCTACTGAGTTCAGTAGCGTCATGTCCTGGCCAGGAGTGGAGGGCATGTGATTTGCGGCCCCACAGTGGAGGCTGCCCAGTGTTCTGCAGCCAGACCCTTCTGAATCTCTCTAATGCCAAACTCTTATAAGTCCATGAAAACATTACAGTATTACATATATGGTAAACTACAACCATCACTATGTTCTGATTCATATTTGCATATAAATATGCTTCAAAAAGAAAAATCAAGATATGGCCTATATTTAAAGGTATGAAGCAAAGGTACATGTTAAATCAATCCATCTTCCATAAATACTTTACCCAGTGCAGGGTCATGATAGACCTTATTTATTATTATTTATAATATTGATTATTATCAATAATAATAATAATAATAATAATAATAATAATAATAATAATTAGCGGGCAAAGAAAATTGATGGATTTATAGTGCATTACAGGGATATTGGAACAAGATGCATAACTTTAAGTGTAAGAGTTATCTATAAGAAAATGCAATACCTTGGATAAACCTGCCGAACAACCAAGCTGATGATTATTTATCCTTACCACTACTCGAAAGGGTCGTTAATAGAGTAAAATACTTAATGTCTAAAATTTTGATTCACCCTAAGGATAATCACCAAATTCATTGCGATACATGATAGCACTTTGTTATTATGAACAATGAAGCCGATCTTCAAGACAGGGCGCCAAAACCACAATGCAACTAAAGCCCGAAGGAGACAGGAGGAAGACTCACCCCAAGAAACGGGCCTCTTCCCAGCAGCGTTTCCCCCTGGGGTAGAGGTATAGGACCGCCACCATCCACGGGCTCCAGTTCAAACCCCGGCATTGTAGTCTGGTTTGTAACAATGAAGTTAACTTTAGTATCAGATTATTACATGGTGATCTTACAAAATTAGCTGTATCTTTATGAACGTTCCTTGCAATTTTAAGTTATGTATTTTATAACGTGATCCATTTAATAAAACTTGGTCTGTCTACGATTTTTCTACCAATCTTAAGTTTTGCACATTTGTGCTTTAAAATACCAGCGTATTTAGAGAACCTAGTGACCTGATGAATATTTGCGTTCTTGCACGTTTTATACCTTTTGTGGGTCCTGGCGAGTGAACATCAGTATTACAATAAATACAAGTGCATTGGTTTGTTATACTTCAGATAACTCCCGATAGCGCCAGTCCAAGCAGTATTTATACAGTACAGTGAAGCTCCGGTAATAAACGCACCTCTTGGGGCACTTCATTACTTTCCAGGCTACAGAGAACTTTTTTCCTTTTTTCCTTTCACCTTTTGCTTACGTCTTGTATAATTTTAAAGTGGATATTCCCATTAAATTATATGATGTTTATTCAACAGTATGGTTAAACAAGACAAATACGTAAGCCTGGTGTCACGGGAGTTTCAGTGATCGCTCCCCCCGATCCTGTTCAGGTACCCAAACGTAGTTACGTCTTGTTGTTGGTAGTGAATCATAGATTAAGCAAATACAGGAAAAACATGAGTCTGACAACGACTTCTGCCTTTAGTCGTCTTTATGCGCTTTTTGCTCAGTTCATTTGGTTTTAAAATAGTTACCTTTCATAGCAATAATGGGTTGAAGAAAAGCCGGGTGCATTTCCAACAAAATATCAAATAATTAAAAACGATTTTAAAACATCTAACTACAGAACCAGTCCCAAACACGTGACTCGTGGCGTCTGCTGGGCGTTCCCGTTACGTCACGCGTACCCTGACCCGGATGCTGTTTCAGAGGGCGTTTCCGTTACGTCACTGCGTACAGCCGGACCTGAACTGGTGGGACTTTTAAATTGTTACCGGTCAGGGACCGGCGGGGATATTAGGCTGAAGGTAAATATATTTCAATTTAATGTCGGTTTGTATTATTATCTTAACTGATCCCCCCCCCAACCCTGCAGTCAGCGGTACTCGTTCGGTTTGCTGAGATGACCAAAATATTCTATCACACATTCACAGACACTACAGACGATAGAGAGACAACTTCTCTCTTTCTACAAAGCATATAGCAGCAAATAGTTACTTCAATATCAGTTCAAGTACAAGAACTCGTGGCCATAGGTGGAAATTAGCAGGAGAACATTTTAAAACGAATTTGAGTTAGCACTTCTTTACACGGCGTGTCATTGGAGTATGGAATAGTCTTCCTGTTAGTGTAGTGCAAGCTAAAACCTTGGGTTCCTTTAAATCAGAGGTAGATAAGATTTTACCAACTTTAAGCCTTCTGTTGAATTCTCCCTAAAAGTTTGGTAGGCTGAGTGGCCTCTCATTTGTAAACTTTTTGAACTTAATGGTAGCACATCGTGCTGCTTGAGGAGAAGCTGGAAACGGTTACCAGGAGAAATGTACAACACTAGGGCTGAGCTTAATATCTGGATGCAATGAGTTTCTGGTATGAATAATGTGTTCTTTCTGAAACCGACTGCCATTGGATCATTATTGACGAATTTTCTGTTGTACTTTTTATTATGTGTTTTTTTAAATCTCGTTATTATATGTAGACTTGGGCAGTATTATAGTAGCAAAATTAGTCAACTTATGGTGCTTTTCCACTGGCATACAGGAACCAAGCCGTACCATGAAGAAAGACTAGTTACAGCACAGTTCCAGCTCGCTTAGGTTTTCCACTGCAGAAGGGTCTGCTTAGTAAAGGTGTTGCCGGGTTTGCAGAGTAACAGTGACATAAAACTGAAGAGATGTTTATTTACTGTTCACACTGGGTGTTCCTCAACACCAAGAACTTGTGGTCTTGTTCTGTATTCCATTTGGACTCATAAACCGGAAATTCCGAGTTCCAGGTTGGAAATTTCAACTGGAACACCCCCTGATGTCAGACTTATGACTCGGAAAATCGGAGGACCATCTACAAGTTATAATCCCGACCTCAGAATCAATGATGGCTGCACCCTTCATCAGTGGAAGTGAAAGCTGTAGTTTTATAAATTAAATTCGACAAGTTATCTGGCTAAGCAAGAAAGCTTTTTGAAACTGGTCCCTGGTATTCCTCAAATGGCTCTCCATCTTGTTTACTGGAACGCAGTTAACTCGGGTTTGACGTCATTCCCAGCTCTAATCTACAGAAAACCTATAAGAGAAATACACAGTAATTCAATATGTTTTTTTGAAAAATCAACCTTTTTTGTCACTTCAAAGGTTGTAGGGTTTAGCACTATTGCCTCACACCTCTGGGACCAGGGATTGGGTGTCTGCCATGGCTGCATGTGTGGAGTTTACATGTTCACATGTTCTGACAGGTCTTTTTAACTTTATAAGTGTATTGTCACACCTGGTCAAATAAATAGCCAATTTCATTCAACATTACTGTGATTAGCTAATTCTGATACATATTATTATGTGATCCGTGTGTGGAGTTTACATACTTCCCATGTTGTGGGGTTTCTTCCCGGGACCTCCTGTTTTACCTCCACAGTGTGTGGGTTTTCACTGCAACTGGTATCCCATACCGGCCCTTTGAGAATCAGATTGCCTACCTCTGCTTTGGAGTGTCATAAGTTGGTTTAGTGTACAAGTGAAAATATTATATCCCTTTAGGATTTACAGATGCTCCTCAGTTAATGACCGAGTTCCATTCCTACGAATTGCTCGATAAGCGAGGAGCGGCCCCTTACTTTACTATATTTCAGGCATAATGTTCTGGCAGTGGATTTGTGTTAACCATCATTAGGTATTGTTTTAATGTCACCTTTACTCCATTTATATATATATATATATATATATATATAGTGTATATTTGTAAGTACAGACGCTCCTCTACTTACGAATGAGATCCTTCCGAACGGCCGTTTGCAACTTGAAATGTTTGTAAGTCGTTATTCAACATCATTTTAAGGGTATACGCAAGTACTAAGAACTAGGATGCTGGGAGTACGCACGCTATGCTGCTGCACGGCTGGAGTAGCGGCCAGAAGCCGTACTAGGCGGAATACGCTAACCCAGTGGTTCTCAATCCTGTTCCTGGCGCCCCACCTGCAAGAATGTTTTCATTCCAACCCTTCCTTAATCAGGCTTATATGGTCCTTAATAGGCTAAAGCTGGTTACAGACTGAACGCAGCATGTGCTGTGCGCGCCGTTCAAAAAAACAGCCTTGTCCGTTTAACGTGCTGTGCTTGCCGCGGGACTTCTGCGCAAAGAGTAGGCGTGGTTTTTAAAACTCTCTCCTGTCATTTTGGCTTGCGGTCAGTAGCGATGATGTATACCTCGCATGCTAAAAGATGGTACGCTTGTGTGACATAGCTCTGGGAACTCAGACTCAATATGTTTTTCCTCCATTTCCATTTCTGTGCCCGGTTCGATGCCTTGTTTCTATTGATCGCGCGACAATGCGTCACAGCGTGCAGCGGTCAAAGTTCAACAAAGTTCATCTTTGACGATGGTGCTCACACAAGCACGGAGCACAGCTCTGTGCCTATTAAGCCTATTAAGGACCATCAGAGCCTGATTGAGATAGGGTTGGAACAAACATATTCTGGCAGGTGGGGCACCAGGAACAGGATTGAAAACCACTGCGCTAACCTGTATAGGCATGTATCACAACTTAGCATCACTGCAATCCAGTGAATAGCTGTTAGCATCTTTTAACACATTGCTGAACTAAAACAGTGCATAGAAAATAAGACACTTGTACATATTAACTATTTTGTTTTATTTTTTTATTTTGTGATTATTTGTCATTGTTGACACACCACAGTACACAATGCACAACAACGAAATGTGTCCTCTGCATTTAACCCATATGTGACTTTCGTGACATAGCAGGGGGCACCTAATTCAGCGCCCGGGGAGCAGTGCTTGGGGGCGGTACCTTGCTCAGGGTACCTCAGTGGGGTCTTCCTGGTCGGGGATTTGAACCTGCAATCTTCCGATTACGAGTGCGCTTCCCTAACCATTAAGCCACCACTGCCATAACTAAGATATGAAACAAGTAAAAAACCTACAGCCATTGCTTTTGAAGATGTAAGAAAAATACAAGATACAGGAAAACTTGTGCACATCCATGCTTTACACGCTACTGGAGGTTCCCGATCCCATGCAAAGCATATGCATTAATCACCAAGTTCAGCATAAACTGATATGGCATATCAAAATAAAGATCAATTACTGCAAGCAATATACAGTCTTCCTTCGCTGAACCAATAAATCATAAAGCAGAACAAAGAGAATAGAATAGAAACGCAGCGTTGCCGTTTCCATGGGCAATTTTCTTGTACAGTGTACAATACCGGGGTGGCTGTTAGGGGACAATGGCTTTCCATTAAAGACCTGGCTCATTACACCATATATCATGCCTACAACAGTGTGTGAGATATCGTTGAATCGAAAACATACGGAAACATGTGCCATGCGCTTCAGATGTTTGGACAAATCAGGTGGAGCATTACAATACAGCCCTCAGAAGGTCGGGCTCTCACAGCCACACAGACAATGTGCATTGCCTTGAGATGTTTTGCAAGCAGCACTTTTTTGTATACTGCAGGCGATGCGGGAAATATATCAAAGAGTACAGTTTGCCAGGCAATTCAAGTCTGTTTGGGCCTGAAATATTTCCTTCAGGTTTTCATTGTTTTTCCCTAACACCTAATTGCAAGCAATTAGAGGTGTTTTATGATATTGCAGGTAATGTATATGTAATAAAATTACAGTTCTATAAAGAATTTAAAAATCACACTAATATTCTCATTACCCAGAATTTCCAAAGGTTTTGTCTGCCTTCTTATTAGCTTCAAAAGGAATGTTTTATAGATGTTAAAGATTTCCTACATTTTGTATACATAAAATTAGCAAACATGCACATACACACATACACCCACACACACACATATATATATGAATGAAATGTCGTGTTTACCAGTTTGAAGTATATTTTCGTACTTCACTTTAACTTGTTCCCATGTCCTGCATAATTGTGCTTGTATTTGATCTGTAATTATGACAACAAAATAATAATGAAACATTGGAAACGTAATACTACATTCAAGTGATAAATACAATAACTAAGAACTATACTTACACATTTGTCGGACACTTTTTGCCAGCCTTTTCTGGTTTGGGCTGCTTTTGATGTGTTTCCTTTAGCACATATTAAATCTTTGAATTCATCATACCCCTCTAATAAAAGGTCCTGCTCAGATTGCGTGAAATATTGCGTCCTGTTTTTTGACATTTTGTGGAAGCCAATGAGAGACTTGCCAATCAAGTTTTCTAGACTCAATATATGTGGGCTTTTCAAGCAGCGCGGGCGCGCAATCATCTCGAATAATTGGATCCAGCTAGACTAATCTACTACACAGCTGCGTTTGAAAAAACCAACTTATCCCGGATGAGTTTCACCGGCATTAACTCATCCAAGATGAGGCATCTGATCTCGGATGATTTAAGCGACGTACGGAAAATTCCCCCCCGGTCTGAAGTCAGTGGCACAGTATTTCATTGTTATTGTATAAGGGCACACTATCAATATCAATATAGTAGTGTGCGCCTGCCTTGGTGCAGGCACGGCGAGTATACACTGCTTGTTACACGCAATGGGATGCAAAGCTGTGCACAAACATGCAAAAGAGTTTAAAAAAAACAAAAAAAAAAACAGATTACATGTGGATGATCATTATTGTGTGTATAAATATTAGCTAATCACAGTAATGATGAAATTGGCTAATTATTTAAACAGACCTGTCAGGTTGCAGGTGTCTGCAAAAACCCAGCAGACAGACATTGGACAAGGATCCGATACAGATCGACATTCCTGCTGTATCAGTACAATAGAGCTGCAACTAACGACTATTTTGATAGTCGACTAGTCATCGGCTATTAAAACGATTAGTCGACTAATCGGATTATAAATTGCATAATTATAAAATGGCTCCTATTTAGCTACCATCTTTTACATTTCGCATGAGGTTATTGTTTGACTTGAATGCCGCAAAAAAACACATGTAAAATGGGAAAGAGCTGTCGTGTGGTTGTGCAAATAGCTCCTATTTCATATTAAATCTATCTTTTTAGTGATTGCTGGATTGCTTGTCAAGCAGTCTTTGACATGGGAGCATTTGCTCATAAATTCTCGATTCGCACAGCCAAATGGAGTACCTCATCGGACAGAGGATTGGGAGACGGTGGAGGCAGAGGGTCCACCGGCCAAGAACCACATATCTGTCCCTCAGCGAAGAAGAATGCCGCTGTAAACTACGCCTCACTCGCCAGGCTGTAACGGACATCTGCAATCTTCTGGCAGACGAGCTGGAAACGAATGCCTGCTGTCCCTATGCACTCCCTGTTGCTGTGAAAGTCACTGCTGCGCTACATTTCTTCGCCAGTGGGTCATTCCAGCATCCCCTGAGTTCAGTTGGTGGCATTTCCCAATCTGCCGTAAGTGCGGCCATACACGCAGTTACATCAGGCCTAGTCCGACATGCCAATGACTACATTAAATTCCCCATGACACCTGCTAGCCAAGAACGGGGAAAACAGGATTTCTGGGCAAACTTTGGGTTCCCTGGGGTTCTAGGTGCTATCGACTGCATGCATGTGCAACTACGTGCCCCATCAGAGAGCGCACTGATATATGTGAACCGTAAGGGAACTCATTCCATTAACATCCAGGTGATTTGCGACGCAACGTGTAAGGTTACGCATGTATTTGCAAATTATCCTGGATCAAGCCACGACTCCTACATACTGGCCAACTCTGCCATTCCTGCACTCTTTCAGAGGGATTCCCCCCCAGAGGGGTGGCTGTTAGGGGACAATGGCTATCCATTAAAGACCTGGCTCATTACACCATATATCATGCCTACAACAGTGCGTGAGATATCGTTCAATCGAAAACATACGGAAACACATGCCATAATAGAAAGAACTTTTGGATTGTTGAAAATGCGCTTCAGATGTTTGGATAAATCAGGTGGAGCATTACAATACAGCCCTCAGAAGGTCGCAGCAGTCTTTGTGGCGTGTTGTGTTTTGCATAACATTGCCATGCGTTATGGATGTCTTTTGGACATAAATGAGGACACATTACAGGAGTTTAGAAGGCGTGATGCTGAACTGCATGTGCCGATGTCAGTGAACCCGAATACACCAGCAGCAGCGCGGGCAAGGAGAGATCAGCTGGCAGAAGAGCTTCATCATCTGTAGGCTGGTAAGCAAACTGAATGGTTTGATTGAATAGTAAAATCCAAATAAAGCATTTATTTAGACATTTTAAATTACATTGCATTTTACCAATATTTTTCAAATGCTGGGATTCACTATGTATTATGATTTTTTTTTTCATCTTGATATGATTCAAATTTTATTAGAATTTTTTTTAACTATTTAAAAAAAAAGTCTAACACTTTTTTAGAGTACAGGGATCAGGTTTCCATACTTTCAGCAATTAAAACCCCACTGATTTTACCTGTTACTACATGACTGAAAAAATGATTTTTAAGACAACCTGAGCTGTAATTTAAATGTAAAAAAAAAAAAAAAAAAAAAAACAATGAAATTCGCAGTTTCAGTATCCCATGGCTGAAAAATATCACATAGAAAATTCCAGAAATAATTCAGAAATTTTTAATTGCACACAATTCTGAGCAGTGTGCTGAAATCTCACACTGTCCCAGCAGGGATGTGAATCATCCCTTCGTCCAGCGTATCCACACTGTATACGCAACCCTCCCATTAGTCATGCCGTCTTGGTTATCAGATCCAATGGTATGACAGTGCTTGTGTTCAAGTAACTATTTTTTGTTTGTTTTTTTTTTTTTTCAAATAAGGACGCTTGTAAGCTTGTATGTAAATCATAGTCTATGAAGAAAGGAAGGTACAATAATGTTCTGTTGTCTTTTTGTCCCTAATTTATATGTATAGGAAAAAACATGGTTTATATAGACCCAATATAGGCCCTGTTCACACCTGGTATTAATTAATCCTGGTAATGCGTATTTCCACTTGCAGTTTGGTTTTAAATTTGGCTTGAAAGATGTTAAATAGACCTTAAAAAGTGCTGAATTTCACATCGGCACACCTTGCTTAAGCTGGTGATGATCTTCATCCTCAGGTTCACAGGCAGGGAGCACCACAATGGGAATGGCCATGGGAGGCTCCTGGATCATCTGGGGAGAGTGTGCTTGTATTGGACCGGGTGCATGGAGGAGATTTGGTGGTCAGAGGAGGGGGGTGTTGCAGGACCGTGGCCTTCAACTGCTTCAGTGAGCATTCCCAGATTGTCCGCAATATGTCCAAGGGGCTGCAGAAATGCTTGCATGACTCCACCCAATTCCATATCCAGCATGTCGAATCCAGCCTACTGGAGTTCCAGGAATGGGTGGTCCTCCTGCCAGATGCTATTCTCACGCCGTGAACTGGGTTGGCTCGTCTCTCCTCTCGAACATGATGGTTGTTCCACATTCTCTTCTCCCTCTACAACTAACACCTACTCCTGCCTATTGGATCTTCAGCCAGCAGATCTACACAACATTTTTAGTTGATTAATTGTATGACTTTTTTGAGGGTGTTTAATGTAAAATAGTTGATTTTCGCAAGAGTCCTGCACTTTGATTTATTATCATTGCATTACCATAGACACCCCCACCCCCCCCCAATGCTTTCAGCACTGACGGTAGGGGCAGCAATGTCCTCTTCAATGGTCATAGGTGGTCCTTCTGTTTCCAGTAGCTGAATCACCTGCTGTTGCTGTAGATGGTCTGCTCACGCACTTTCTCTGAGCACGAGCAGATTCATTTCCTCTGCAGAGACGCATTCTTCTCTGCTACCTGGCAAATCTGCCAACATAATAGTAATGGGGTGGATGAAAGGACAAAACAAATCAGCACTGATTCCATTTGATTAACACCAAATAGACTGTAGGGATTCAGGAGTCATATTACAAATAATCTAATTGCTTTTTTTAGGTCTGCCCACAGTGTTGTAATATGCCAGACCCTGACCCAGTACTTCTCTTTATATATGATGAGCAAACCACGTCATAGAGCTGCATGTCATACTGCCCCACGGTGGTTAGTCCTGACATACTTACCTCACATTAGTATAACATGATAATACAACTATAAACACTCGCCATTTTAACATAAAATAACCAAGGGCCCATTTTAACTTTAAAAATAACACTTTATTAACTGGAAAAAAACAAACAACGAAGATCCTCATAAACATGCGTAACTAAACCAAACAGCCCCTGAGGCTCATGGGAACATGAACGCAAACCAGTCCTTGCCCAGTCATTCCAGAGTTGGAAGTGTTGCTTGTGCACATTAGCCTTTAGTAACTGCTACATCATCAATCTGACAAGGTGCAGTCACCTGGCTTTTAAAAGGGAGATGAAACTCTGAATTGTTTAAAGCATATTATGCCCTAAACGCACCCATTACTAATTGTGAGACAAAGTACAACCCTTTTGAACCAGTGTGACTTCAAATCGTTATTATAGGGCCATTTGTGTCCTATGCTGTCACAGATGTAGTCAAACCACCCCAAACATCGCTTGTTAGTCTAGTGAGTGACGGACAGCAAATAATTATTGATTTTAATCATTTTAAAAGACTCTCAATGAGAAATGTACCATCGAGAATTGTGAAAAAAACATTCACTGTGCATTTTTGTTGATTTTGTTGGAATCAGACCCTATGAGGGATTTTTTGCATACTACACCTTAATTTATTCCGAAGGCGGTGCACACCTTGGGAATCTCCCAGCATATGCTCACTTAGGGTTTCCACATCTCCAGCCGAAAAGAAGTCAGCTTCCACTGGGTAAGAAGGCAGAGCAGTGCTTTACAATATGGTCTGTGGCACACAGGGCAGAGCTGTGCTGGGTAGCACAGCAAACATCCAAGGAAAATCTACAGACACAGATATTAAGGTTGCTGCGTGTGAAGTTTGGCAAGCGGGCGAGCGGCGAAGCAGGCAAACAGAGCCGTAAAGACGGACAGACGGGGTTTATTGCAGGTGGACTAGCGGACAAGGAACAAAACATAACAATACAATGACGAATCTGGGGAAGACTGACTGAGACTCGGACTAAATACACAAGACAAACTGAGTTTAACGAGCAACAGTGAAGAACAATCAGGCAGAAACAGGAGGTAACGAGGTGGGCGTGGCACACATTAGGATCGGACGGAGATGGGTGTGACACTGTGTATCAGGTCACAAAACCTTTTTCTTTGGAATTGCAAAAAAAAATAGGACAACTGGGTGCTGAAGCGCTTTTGCCTCTTTTTTTATACTGTCAGGGTCAGCACCTGTCTGTCAGTCTTTTATGTTCTCCCCATTTGACCAGCAGATGTCGCTGGCCGTCCTGTCCGCCCCATTGTCAGTCTTCAGTGTGTTTCCCCTGCTCAATGAGCTGAGTGTGAAGCTACCTATAAACCTCTCTGTCATCTGTTTAAGTCCCGTTTTCACATTTAAATTTAATTATTATTTTCACCTGTTGCCTGTTTTCTTGTGCCAGTCCTTGTGTGTTCAACCCTGATTGCTTGTTGTCCTGCACCCTCCTTGATTGGTTAATTGTTTCATGTCTCACTCCTCCTGTGCCGTTACCCAGTTCGGTTTGTGTATTTATGCTCCTGCTTTAGTTCAGTTCTTCAGTGGGTCATTGTATATTTCAAAATGTTAGTAGTGATTCTGTGTTTTTTTATTTGTACTTTGTTCCCTGCCTGCTCTTTGTCCCTGGACTTTGCTCCCTTGACTTTTTGTAGTTAGTCTTTGTTTTTTCCTATTTGCTTTTTGACCTCTCGTGCTCTGTTTGATTTGTAGTGTTCCCAGTGTTTTCAGTTTAATATACCCCCGTGTTCCTGTGAGCCGTAAGTAGATCGTCCGCCTTCCTTTTCTGCCTGCACCATGCCCTGCCCCCATGCCAGAAACTCCCGAGTTTGTGACATATACAGTACATGGCAGTGTGAAGTTTGCCCGAGACAACTTTCATTATTCTTTTAATGTATTTGGAATCAAAACAATTTAGATGTATTTTCATTGTCGACAGATTTATTGATAGTGTTTGTTTTAGGGCTAATCACACATCGATCACATTTTACTTAAGGCAGACAACATAATGCATTAATAAAGTATTGCTGGTATAAACACAATGCTTTGTACTGCATTATCAAGGTATAGCCATGTTTACAATGCTTTAATGCATTCATATGCATGACTGCTTTAAGTAAAATGTTACCAATAGATCTTCAATCCAGGTTTGGCCAGTTTCTCAGGAGAGCCTTTTTTTTTTTTTTTGTCTTCTCACTTTCACCAGACTCAGAAGGAACAAAGTCTGAGTCACTATCGTCGACAGATTCGCTCTCATCGTCTGTGAAGCTGTCATCATCCAAATTGACATTTGCTTCTGCTGGAGAATATAAAGAGACCTTAAAAATGCTTTGCTGGGATTTGTTTTTCATCATCTATTTCAAAACAAAACACATAAAGCATACCTGGATCCTTAGTGTGTTTAAATTTGTTTTTTGTGCAGTCAGTTTTTCCTGGGGGGGGGGGGGGAATCGATAATTTGTCAACCTCATGTCCATAAATGCAGACAGGATGCAGTTCATGATCTTCTGCATTCACAGTCTTTCCTGATGTTTGTAAATGGTACATGTCCAATAGAATGTATTAATTTGCTTTAACAGCAATATCTAAATCAATACCACTTTACAGCAGAGAAACCACTTTAGCATTTTTATTTTGGTACTATTTGGTATCTGTATTTTACCTGGGTTAAATCTGTGATTCATTTCATTTAGATTTTCAACCTACGGAACTAACAAAATGGTTTGTATTGTGAAACAACTCAACAGTTCAGCCCTTGAGATAGGGCTTGCTAGCCTCAGTTTTGGTAGTAATTATAGTAATAGAAGTACAAATCAAATATATATATATTTTTTTACACTATAAATATACAAATAAATATATATATACACACACAAATATACTGGGCAAAAACTGGATTTTTCCGCCTTGACCACTGGTCTGACATGGGAAATGACCAACACAGAAAAGAGAGAATTCCAGAGAGAATTCCAAAGGGCTCAGATCCCAGCCCCACCTGTAGCAGCTGGTCCCATATGGACACTCTGGTCTGTCGCTGTCATCCATCTCGTCATTGATATCCTCCTCATAATCACTGTCGCCAGGGTGACTGTACTCCTTAAAATGGACCAGGTTTTTTTCTAAGAGACAAAAAAATGGCGGAGTGATGCATGGTTCTGCAAGTTAGCACTCTGTGCCTATGACCATATGGTTGTACTTTCACCACTGGGCCCTTAAGCAAGGTCAACCTAGGAATTTGTGAAACAAATCAACAATTCAGCCTTCAAGACAGTGTTTGCTAGCCTCACCTTTAGCAGAAATTATAATACAAGCAAATTTTTTTTTTGCACTATATATAAACATATTGGGCAGTTATTGGATATTTCCGCCTTGGCATGTGGTCTGACATGAGAACTGACCAATACAGAAGAAGGAGAATTCTAATGGGCTTAGATCCCAGCCCCACCTGTAGCAGCTGGTTCCATATGGACACATCAGTCTGCCCTTAGCTCTGTAGTCAACCTCGTCAGCACCCTCCTCCTCATAATCGCTGTTGCCATGGTGGCTGTACTCCTTGAAATGGACGGGGTTTTTTTCTAAGAAACAAATATATACAGTGAGGTCAATAAGTATTTGATCACCCTGTGATTTTGCAAGTTCTCTTACTTAGAAATCATGGAGGGGTCTACAATTTTCAGCATAGGTGCATTTCCACTGTGAGAGACAGAATCTAAAAAGAAAAATCCAGAAATCACATTGTATGATTTTTTAACAATTTGTTTGTGAATTACTGTGTCAAATAAGTATTTGATCACTTGCTTATCAGCCAGATTTCTGACCCTCAAATGCCTGTTATTTTGCTTTTAAATAGTCCAGCTACACTCTGCTCATGATTCTAAATTAGTAGCACCTGTTTGAGGTCGTAAGCTGTCATAAAGACACCTGTGCACCCCACAATCAGCCAAAGTCTAAGTAGCAACATGGGCAAAACCAAAGAGCTGTCAAAAGACACAAGAGACAAAATTGTAGACCTTCACAAAGCTGGAAAGGGCTACGGGGCAATTGCCAAGCAGCTTGGTGAAAAAAGAACAACTGTTGGAGCAATTGTCAGAAAATGGAAGAGGCTAATGATGACTGTCAATGTCCCTCGGACTGGGGCCCCACGGAAGATCTCTCCTCGTGGGGTTTCAATGATGCTAAGAATGGTGAAGAATCAGCCCAGAACTACACGGGAGGAGCTGGTCAATGCCGTGAAGAGAGCTGGGACCATCGTTTCCAAGGCTACTATCAGTAATACAATACTGCTTCATTAACACTGAACACCTACTAAGGAGCTATGCTTAATTACTCAATAGGTAATAGTGAACTAATTATTATAGTAATTCGCTATCACTTAATTAGGAACTATTGAGTATTACAAGTCTCATTGGGAATTATGTACTAACTATGAATTATTTCTAATAACTACTAGTTCATTACTCGTCAAATGAACATTGCTTTTTTTTGCACTAACTGGGATGTATAGGCTACTGTTCTCAATGGTTCTTGGCATTTTTTCCTTTTGGAATAACAGGCTTGTTTCTTCCTACTTGTTTGTATGAGACACAATTATTCTACAAAATGTTACTGCCTAAAATATGTATACAGTACCTACATTTTAATTGTTTACTTCACTTCAGTCTGTGTACCAGTGTTTTTCAAACTGTGCTTTGAAGTCCAACTGAAGGGATGGTCAATCAGAGACTCGTGTTTTGCCACATGATGTGCTCCACCACATATTGTTGATCTTTTCTAAACATTAAGAAATTAATGTATGCATTTTAAATAAGGAATGAAGTCTTAATAATGACCTAAATAAAACTAATTGCAACTCATTAGTAATGAATGTGGCGTTACTGACTCCTTGAATTGGTGTTACTAAAGATCAAGAAGAGTATTATAAAGTGAAACACACTGTAACTTATTAGTAATGAATGTGGTGTTACTGAGTAAGCTTCTATTTCTTTCACTAAAACATTTACGGAATTCTTTTTAAGGGGTTAATAAGAACAATTAATGTTAACATAGCATAGTAAATGTCCATTTTTACAACTGATTAATTAAAAACAATTGCTATTTGTTTTAATCAATGCAACATTTATTTGTTATTAAAGCAGGAAGCTATACAGCTCAACTTCCTGAACAGTTTAACTTCAGTGGTAAAGCAGATCTCCTGGTACACCTCCAGAGAACTGGTGGACCAAAACTCTGCTGGTTGGCTGATCTCCATTACCTGTGTTTAACAACTATTAGACACTAACAGAACCTTTGGCAACACCTGTAACACAAAAGGCAACTAACAATGCCACAGTCAAACATATATTTGAGTGTGCACACACACACACACACACACACACACACAAAACATATCCATTATTTCTTCTTTTGAATGTCAATTAGCAAACCGTTCTTCCTTCCTGCCTGCATTCTTCTCTGCAACGGTCAGCAAAATCTGCCAGTGTCTGCCCTTTCTGATACTGTGACCTTAAACACTTGTAGGCTTCAGTGTCACACGCCTCCAGCTCTGCAATAGGTGAGGTGTCCACAATTGTTTTTCGGTCCATCCCACATTTTGGTATGTAGTTGTTCTTTTTTTAATGTAGGCCAGTACGTTCTTGTATCTTGCAATGGCTTGCTCTGGAAGAAAAACTAATGGAAATAGAAAGAATGTTGAACTGTTAATTATGTTTTTCAAAACTCTGCAAACAGTTAGTCTACTATTATTGTTCTATTAAAATCAGTATAGAGTAAATCCTAAGAAGACGACAAAATAGTAATGGTAAAACATAGTAACACAATCTATCACAAATGTTACCACTAAAAGAACTTCAATTCAACAAAATGCTCACACAACTCAACAAGACTTCACAGAGAATTACATAGACATTGGTTAGTCAACTGGAGTAGCTAAATAAGCTGACAAGGAACAGAAGGGATGGCTCAGAATAAGGAGAAAGGAAAGGCCATAAAAGAAATAGATCTATAGGCACATAAGGGAAAGTGTCAGGATTCGCGGGACGGGCGAGCCGGAAAGCAGGTGAGCGGAGCCGTGAAGTCAGGCAAACAGGGTTTATGCAGACGGGGGGTTGACGGGTACGGACATCCACTGACACTACAATGACGGATCTGACGAGACATACTCAGACGCGGACTAAATACATAAGACTAGCCAGAAATAACAGAACACAGGTGATCACAACCAGGAATTGACACGAGGTAATGAGGGGGCGTGGCACACACAAGGATCGGACGGAGCTGGGCGTGACAAAATATATAAAATTGAGAAAACAATCACAAACAGTAAAAGAAAGAAGGTAAAATATAAATGAATATGCAACCAGTCTCAGTGTCTAGATTAACAAAAAATAGTATATAAAAATGAAAAGGAACCTCTTCTGCACTTCTCAGCTTTGGGCGTTTTCTTCTTTATTTTATACTTCTTGCTTCTGTCGTGGTGCTAAGCTGTGAGTTTGGGGGAGCCACCCCCGGAGACACCGACTACGCCACCCTGGGAATTACACCCAGGGAAATAGTTCCTAACACTCCACAAAGAAAAGCACTCAGGTCCGTTATACATGACAATAAAACACCGTCCACAATACAGAGTACAACCTCTGGGCTGGTGCACACGGGACAGGAGGTAAAGCAGTCAGGCATCCTAAAACAAAAGCACTACACCCCCATGCACACACACCAGGGCCCTGCTGCCACACACACACACACCACACCAAAGCTCCCTTCCTCCCTAGTGGCGTATCAACCCAGAACAGTCTTTAAAAAAAACACACAAAACTAAAAAAAACCCTAGCTCTAACAAGGTAAACCTGGAAGAACCAGTTAAAACAGAATTACAATCCACATTTACAATATAACCAAAGAGGCAAAGCAGCAGCAGCAACTGGAGGGCAGGCAATCCAGACCACAGCTGTAATAGAGCAGGCAAAACAGCAGCACTTAATGGCACGTCATGATCTTCCCAACTGGCTGGATAAACTCCCTCCGCATTGCCTGCAAAAGATCACGTCAGGCACAACAAGTTATTTAATACAAATAAATCACTGCCCGATCAAACTTACCAGCGAATTTGCAAAATAAGCCCGTTAGTCGCCAGCACCACCGTTTACCCCCAGCAACGCGCACCCAGGCATAACAGTTTGAATTAAGTTAGCCGAAACAGAATGGAGCAACATACCCACCGCCACCTACCAAGCAGTAGCTTCCAAGGAATCCGTCGTATGCAGATCTATAAAATAAACCATACATTCAAACAGCCGCGAGGGTGACTTACAAGGACAAACGCGAAACAGCCCGCTGCATACCTTTAAACAGCGAAGTCAGGTAACCAAAAGAACACCTTGCCAGCGTTAGATTCCCAGCCAACCACTGCCACTTTTATAGGGTGCTACCTTGGAAACCAATAATCGCCCCGCAAATTTAAAGGCACAGCGCCCAAAATAGCTATTCTGCCACAATCTACCCCCTTTTTTTTTTATATAGTCGACCCGACGATAATACAAAATCTAACTCCAAGGTCTAAACAGAGCAGAAACTGCATTAGACACAGAACCCAGAGAGCTTACAGTCCTTTCTGCCATCACCCCTGCAGGCCTCGGAAGGTGGTAAGTGTTGGCCTGCAGTTACCCGGGTCGTCCTTCGCACTTCCTGGGAATCAGGCTGACTCATTACTGGGACCACTCTGGAAATAAGTGGCTGACTCACTACTGATGGAGGAACCACTGAGGGGCCCGAAACTTCAGCAGGCCACAAAGGAGACTCCTGAGTAGCACATGTCATCGCCACTGGCCTAGCCAATGAAGAACTAGACACCTCCCCAGGGCGTCCCTGCCTCAACACCACCAGGTCCTCATCACCCGAGGATTCACCTGATGCAAAAGTTGACTCCATAGGCAAAGGATTACTAGGGCAGACACCGGAGACATTTACTATGGCCTTCAACAAGGTTCGATGGACGTGCCTGACCTAGGTCTGATCATCCACAGGTACGATGGCATAAACTGCTCCACCAGCTTTAGGTGCTTTCAGAACTCGATACATCACAGAACTCCACCAATCTTGAATTTTATGACGCCCTCTGGTACTGCAATCACGGAGGAGTACTAACTGGCCTTCACTTAGCGGGCAGTCTCGAACATGCTGGTCATGGTTCTTCTTCCGACGCTCAGCTGCCATCTTCAACCGTCCCCTTGCCCCTTCAAATGCCAACTGTAGTCGAGTCTGATGTTCTTCAATCCACTCATGGACATATCCACTCACAGGTTCCGCCACTCTACCTAGGAGGAAATCCACTGGCAGTCTAGGCTCCTGACCAAACATGAGAAAAAAGGAGATTCCCCAGTCGCCTGATGGGGAGTAGTGTTATAACAATAAAGCACCTGCGGCAGACAGGAATCCCAATCTCTCTTCCGGGACACAGGCAGAGTACGCAACAAGTTGTGGAGAGTCCTATTAAAGCGTTCACACTGGCCATTGCCCACCGGATGGTATGGAGTGGTGCGAGATTTCTCGATCCCATAGAGACCACAGAGCTGCTGGATGAGGGAGCTCTCAAAGTTACGGCCTTGATCTGAATGTATCCGAGCAGGAACACCAAACTTTGAAAACCATTCAGCCACTAAAACTTGGGCCACA